TGAGCCCAGGAGTTGGAGGTTGCTGTGAGCTGTGATGCCACAGCACTCTACCCAGGGGGACAGCTTGAGGCTCTGTCTCAAAAAAACAAAAAAAACAAAAAAGTGTTACAGGCAGATAGAGTAGGAAGGAATTTCGGAATTTCTTTTTTTGTTGTTTTTGGAATTTTGAAATTTCTAAGTTGCAAACATGTGCTTTGAGATTGAGATGAAAAGAACTTTGGTCTAATTTAAACTGAGATTGTGGAATTGCAAAACCTATCTGGAGTTGAAACAGTTGTGCAGATGTCCAGTCTTCAGATTCAGCCTTCCAGTATAATGGATCCATTTTATTTATTTATTTATTTGTAGTGTCTCATGGCAATAACACCCTCTTTGGTCTAATCTGACTAGGCAGTATATGAAGCAAAATTTTTTTTGTTTTTTGAGAGAGTCTCACTTTGTTGCCTTTGGTAGAGTGCTGTGGCATCTTAGCTTACAGCAACCTCAAACTCTCTTGCGCTTAAGCTACTCTTGCCTCTGCCTCCCAAGTAGCTGGGTCTACAGGCACCCGCCACAACACCCAGCTATTTTTAGAGACAGGGTCTTGCTCTTGCTAAGGATAGTCTGGAACTCCTAAGCTTAGGCAGTCCACCTGCCTCAACCTCCCAGAGGGGTTAGGATTACTGGTGTGAGCCACCAAGCCAGACCCTGCAATTTTAAGTGGTTATGTCTCCTCTTTATTTGAACTATCAGAGTATTACTCTATGTTGCAGTAAAAAAACACAGGCCATGCAAAGAAAGACAAGAACAGTTTTGGGTTAAAGGAACTCTATTTTACTACTAACCTTTTGGTGTGTGCCATACATATTTAGGCTAATTTGTAGGGACCCCAAGTTGATCTGACATATTAGAGATGTGTTCAGTTAGTACCATAATATTTATTTATTTATGGAGACAGAATCTCACTTTGTCACCCTTGGTAGAGTGCCGTGATGGCACAGTTCACAGCAACCTCAAACTCTTGGGCTTAAGTGATTCTCTTGCCTCAGCCTCCCAAGTAGTTGAAACTACAGGTGCCCACCACAACACCTGGCTAATTTTTTTAGAGATGAGGTCTCACTCTGGCTCAGGCTAGTCTAGAATCTGTGAACTCAGGCAATCCACTCACCTCGGTCTCCCAGAGTGCTAGGGTTACAGGTGTGAACCACTGCGCTCCCCCCCCCCATGCCATTATATTTACATTTGGGTTAGTGTTTACTTCAATTTTTTCTTCTTCCTTTGTTTTTTTTTCTGACATTGAAAGGTTTTAAAAAATAATATGTAAATATGCTATAATACAAATAGAACGGGTCATACATGGAGGTGTCTCATCTTTTGTATTAGCTGCATGTTAGTCCTTTCATAGCTGTCACCATTTATCTAACTAGCTGCTATTGATGAACACATAGTGTTTTCTTTCTCTTTTTTTAGCATATATAGTGAACAAAGATAGTTGTTAAGAGATTATTCTTGATATTGTCAGGAAACTAATACCATGATGCCACCAATAAATTCGTTCTTTAGAAACAGGATATTCTCCACTCCATTTTTTATTTTTATTTTTTAAATTATTTTATTTTATTTTATTAATTCATTTTATGGGATAGACTCTCACTCTTGCCCTGGGTACAGTGCCATGGTGTCATCATAGCTCACAACAACCTCTAATTCTTAGGCTCAAGCGATGCTTTTGCCTTAGCCTCACAAATAGCTGAGGCTACATGCACCTGCCACAACGCCCAACTGTTTTTTTCGAGACAGGGTCGTGATCTTGCTCAGGCTGGTGTCAAACTCCTGAGCTCAAGCAATCTACCTGCCTCAGACTCCCAGAGTGCTAGGATTACAGGGGCGAGCTACTGCACCAGGCCAGAAACATTGTTCTAAATACAAATGATTCTTCCTTTATTATGGTTCCACTTAGAATTTTTTAATTTTGTGATAATGCAAAAGTGACACCCATTTAATAGATACCATCCTTTAAGTACCCATACAGTCATTCTGTTTTTCATGTTTGGTACAGTAGTCAATAAATTACATGATATATTCAACACTTTATTTCTTAGAAAATAGGCTTTGTGTTAGATGATTTTGCCCCAGTGTAGGCTAATGTAACTGTTCTGAGTATGTTTAAAAGATAGGCTAGGCTAAGCTATGATGTTCAGTAGGTTATGTATATTAAATGCATTTTGAGTTACGATATTTTGAACTTATGATGAGTTTTCAGGACATAAGTTAAGGAGCAGCTGTACAAAGTTTTCTTTGCTTTTTTACCTTGGAACGAGAGTTCTTCTATTTAAGAACTGGTTGGATTCATATCCTCAGAAACATTCCTGGTGATTGGATGCTCAAAGAATAGGTTAAAAAAAAACAAGGCACTTATAATTTTAATGATAAGAGGTGGAACAGAGTAGAGAACAAAGTGAGATTCATATAAGATCCTAATATTTTGATCAGTGTGTTATAAGTATACGTGATAAATTAGTTTCAAGTACATGTAGGACTTCATTTCTGATATTTTGGCAGAATGAAAACCTTAGCAATGCTGGGTAAAATATGACAGGCATTTTCTTGTAAATATATAGCTTCCCCCAAAGTAAAGCACATCCCCAAGGCTTAAACTATAAACCCTTTCCCACCTGGGGGTTTTCATATTTTCTAGTCACAAGGCTTTCAGGAGTGTCCAGCTTATTTTCTTTTCTGCCACACAATGGAAGAGTAAGAGTTGGCTTGCACCGCACATTAAATACACAAACAGTGCTTGTTTGGGCAGCACATGTACTAAAACTGGTACGATACAGAGAAGATTAGCATGTCCCCTGTGCAAGGATAATACACAAATTTGTGAAGCATTCCATATTTTAATAAACTGTGGCATATGAATGTTGTGTATTATTCAGCCATAAAAAATAGATAGAGACTTTATGCCTGTATAGAGTTGAAGAAACTTCTTCTTAGTAAAGTATCATAAGAATGGAAAAACAAGTATCCAATGTACTAAATACTAATATGAACAACTACATTCCCTCATGAGTGAATAACACAATTAAATTCCACTGGTAGGGAGAGGAGAGGATGGAGGGGGATTGGTGTGCTCT